AGTTTGAAAATTAAGAAAGGGTGTCTAAACCTGCTGAGGCACCAGTCTAGACCGCCTAGGCACCGGCCTAGCCCTTCTAGACCCGCTTAGGTTGCGTCTCACTTAGACAGAAAATATATAACTTACATTTTTAATTTTAATTTTTTTCAATAGATTGTAAGAGACTTGTTGAATACTTAAATGAACACACCTTATAGGCTTGTTCCCCATGTTTTCAGTATGTTCTAATACTTCATAATATATATGTTATTCGATTTTGTTGTTTATCATCAAAGTATATATATTTTAAGTATAACATACACTTATTTACACGAAATATAATAGATTTACTTAAATCCACCTAGGTCCTGCCTAACCGCTTAGACGCTAGGCTTCAGTCCGCCTTCCGACTAGCCTACCGTCTTTTAGAACCTTGATCATGGATGGTCCTATATGGCAAATACCAACATCTTTTATCATTTTGCTCCTACTCCAACTTTGTAGTGATGCCTCCTCTTGTACAATGGAATATATTCTCTAAATCCTTTTGAAGAAAATATTGGGTTGTGTGTATGAAAACCTAAATACTAGTAGTTAAAATATGTATAACAAATATTGATAGAGGGGGCTGTTATTGACCAAACTTTATGACATACCAAACTCATGTTTAATGCAATGAAGAAACTACCATCTTACTAAGCAAGAAATCTTAATGATAATCGAAAAATAATAAAATAAATACAAATAAACATAATATTATTTTTATCAGTAAATAAACATAATAGTCTGACATGTTTTAAAGGAAATATACAGTTTTAAAAGATTAATGTTTAGAATAAAATTAATGTCCAATTGTAAGTGAGAGGTCTAAATAGATGAAGATATTTTTTTTTTCCTGAAAACATATATATGATATTATCTACCTTAAGGGTGGGGTGGAGGGGTGGGCTAAATCTCATGATGGACAAGCCATAATAATTTGGAGAGAATCCACCTTTGGTGAGAACCAAACTTAAGACCTCTCACTTACAAGTAAAGAAAAATATCACTAGACCGTAAATTAGTAAATGAATTACTTATTAAGGAAAATATCCATTACAATCTCCACGAAAAATGGTAAGATTAAATGTAACAAGTTTATTTTATTTATAATTTATTTATTCATTCATGTCTTCTTGCCGTCCTAAATTTTAATATTCTCAAAATGAATAATTATCTCTTCTACTTTTAATATACATTGAATATATAATGAGTGTGTCACTAATACTAAGTGTGATATCTAAATTTGACTCTTATAAATAAAGAATTCGATACCTAATTATGGCTACCCACTAAGCTTATCTTAAATCTTCACCATTGTATACATTAAAAATAGGCCTAATTCGTAAAAATAAAAAATAAAAAATAGGATTTAAGCCTATGTGATGAAGTCTGTTAGGATTACACCCAAAATTGAAATTTTCATCAACTCTCCGTTATTTATTAGCATATGAGCCACACATATGAGGCTAAAACGGAACTCTTCATTAATTGGGAGGCTACTTTATCTTTTTAGCCCCACATGTGAGCCTCATGTGCTTGCAATTAACGGATAATTGACGAAATTTTTAATTTTGGGCCTAAATACTAACAGACTTCACCATAGGGGTCTAAATCCTAATTTTTTGTTATGCCATGGGCTAGCTTCCGACTACCCTATTATCATGGGGACTATTGATCCAACTAAGCCTTAAAAATAACACAAAGACAGTCAATCATGTGGTTTTACCAACTCAACCATATGACACGAGGGGTTTTGTTACATCCCACATCGTCCAGGGGAGTGGATCATATAAGCCTTATATGTATATTCATATCTCTACCTAGCACCAGGCCTTTTGGGAACTCACTGACTTCGGATTCCATTAGAACTTCGAAGTTAAGCTAGTTTGGACGAGAGCATTCCCATGATGGGTGACCCATTGGGAAGTTCTCGTGTGAGCTTCTAGAAACAAAACCGTGAGGGCGTGGTTGGAGCCCAAAGCGGACAATATCGTGCTACGGCGAAGTCGAGTTCGGGATGTGGTGGGGGCCTGGGTCGGGATGTGACAATTTGGTATCAGAGCCAATCCCTGGCTGAAAGTGTGCCGACAAGGACATCAGGCCCTTAAGGGGGGGGGTGGATTGTTACATCCCATATCGTCTAGGGGAGTGGATCCTCTAAGCCTTATATGTATATTCCCATCTCTACATAGCACGAGGCCTTTTGGGAACTCACTGGCTTCGGATTCCATTGGAACTTCGAAGTTAAGTGAGTTCGGATGAGAGCATTCACATGATGGGTGACTCACTGGGAAGTTCTCGTGTGAGTTCCTAGAAACAAACTGTAAGGGTGTGGTCGGGGCCCAAAGCAAACAATATCGTGTTATGGCGAATCGAGCCCGAGATGAGGTGGGGGCCTGGGCCGGGATGTGACAGGTTTCTTTAGCCAACAAGCTTGGGGTATGAATTGGCTAAAAAATGCCAAGGATCTTAACTTGATTAATTCTTTTCTTGAATAAAATAATATAATTGAATTAAAGAGTAAAATGGTTGGGTTAAATTAATAATAGGCCAACCACAAAAATTTGGTATCGAATTCGACATTAAAATTCTAGCGGAATAAGAATATATATTTTTTTGTTATGGAGATTTTCATCTCTGAACACTCTCACTTTAATTTAAAAGTTTCTTTGGACACCCCATTGAAATTTATAATATTTCAAATTTGACCCTAAATTAAAGCTCACTTATTAATATTAAATGAATATTAAATCAACAAAAAGCGGCGATGAAGCATCCAAGAGGAAAACCTAACAAGCCTGCCGTCCAAATTCTTTGTTCTTCTCATCCAACTACTATTTTGTACAATTGCATTTTCAAATTGCGTTTGTTCTACTCTTCATTTATGGTTACCCTAATATAATCTAGAGGCACTGAAGGAGATTGAGGATAAAAGGGGCATGTTGGCGTTATGTCAGTTTAAAGATGCCTTTGGAAGTCTTAATAGGCATTAGGCTCTTTTAAATGAGTTATTGTTAGTGTTAGGCATGCTACTATTGACTCAGGCCAATAGAAAGATTGTATGATGTTATTGTTAGATCATAAACTTCTGCCACAAGTAAATAGAGCTTCTAATCAAGAGACCGTGTTATAGTGGGGTTAAATCTATGTTAAGTTATTTTCTATGCCTCGTTAAGCCAAAGACTTTAAATATTTTTTTGTGTATGCCAAGTGATAATCACAAACCGGTCGAGTATTGATTTAACTCAGTATGTAATTTTCATATAAATGTAAGAAGATAATGTAGGACAAGTTACATGAAAAGGGAAAGACAGAAAGTAAAGAAAGTTAGACACTTGTTATTTATTCAACAACGAAGTAATAACTTGAACAACAAATTAATAACTTGAAGAAAATGCAAATTACAAACAATCAGACAAAAATTAAATTTATTCGGACAAGTCCAACTGCCAATCGGGCAAGTTTTTAATAATAGTAAAACTAAAAACGAAATCTTTTTATTATTTGCGTAATTATGAAAGCATTAAATATATATAAGAAAGTCATGCATGAATCTAAACAAGCGACAAATTTTGAGTGGGCAGTAGTGCCATTCACGAAAATCCAGTGACAAGCTGAGCCTCACATGAATTTTCTCCGCATGAAGAAACTGTGTCCAGCCTCTACATTTTTATTTTATTGATATAATTGCATTCAAATAAAACATGGCAACTGTGGATGCAAATTTCTTCCTCCTTGATCTTGGACAAAATTGCACCTACAAATTAAATAACACCTTTGGTTATGGCCACAAGCCTCACGCGCCCACGATGAATGGGGGGGCTTTGGCCAAAGAACCTCCGATGCCAAAGTTAGAATTTAGAGAGAAATAGTGTTTAGAGAATTTTGGGATTTTTGCAAGAGTGTTGGAATTGGTTTTTTGGTGAGAATGAGAGTATATTTATAGGGATAGGGGTGGCTAGGGTTTTTTGGGTTTAATTTAGGTTTAATTAGGAGTTACCAAATAATTAAAAAGGGAAAATGGTGGAAAAGGTAGAGAATATGATAGGCTCTTTTTGGATGGGAATGGCCGGCCCTTGGTGTGATTTTTGGGGTATAATGGGTGATTAAATTAGCCTTTAATATATTGATTATATTAATTGGTTGAGGATGTTATGGAATGTTTGAAATAAATGGCTAATTGAATAAGGAAAAAATGAGGTAAAAACATATATGGAATGAAATAGGTTTTGAATTGTTACCCATTTTGGGTACTCCTGACTTGGTTGATGGATGATTCTCCACTGCTCGCGTGTAGGAAACTCGGTATGCCTCGAGGGTATTTTTGTCCTCTTTTGTCCAAAAGTCCACGTGTCGCCTAGTGAATATTTTTGGCTCCACAGCAACCACGGCCACTGACAAGTAGCTGATCAAAGCGACGGAGCGTAGTTAACCATTTTCATATTTAGATTTCAATTTTAGATTAAGGTATAAGTTTTTGGGTTTAAGTGTTTTAACTTGAAGATTAGTGATCCGTACGCCAAAACTGATAAGATTTGGAGAAGAGTTGATGTTGTTGCCAAGAGAAAATAAGATTCACAGTAGCTCAAACATGGAGCTCTGCTTCTCTCTTTTATTCATGGGGGAAGAGAAACGACTACGTAGCCAAAACTCATAGAGCTAAGCTTGGGACAAAATCCCAAGTCAGCTCAAATCCTAACCATCCATTGGCTTTGAATCACACGATGGTGGTTAAGAGGAGGCTGAAATATCTCTGTGTGTCTTCCCTGTCGTGGCGAAGCCACCTGCTGGTCATTTAAAAAAGAAAGAAAGAGAAATTAGGTCAAAAATAAAAGTTTACTAATGCAAAGTCAAATATAAATGAGGACCATCACCTCCACTAGGCGTTAGTTTGGTTAATTTTGGTTAAAATTAAACAACCCAATATTCTTTTGAAGCATATATATATGTAAGTCCTCCCATTTAGTTTACTTACCAAACCACCAATTTTTTTTAACCCATCATCACCTTTGCATTTGGCTCTGTCTCTCTTCTTTTTCTTCTTCATTGGGATGCACGTAGAAATTATGAAGCCATTTTTGTGGGTGGTCCCAATTTTGTTGTTGGTTTCAATCTTACATTATTCTTGTTTTGTTGATGGGGCACCACAAGTTCCATGTTACTTCATATTTGGAGACTCATTATCTGACAGTGGAAACAACAATGGCCTTTTAACGTTGGCTAAAGCAAATTATAAACCCTACGGCATTGATTTTCCAAGAGGTCCAACCGGAAGGTTTTCCAATGGACGTAATTTGGTTGATGTTATTGGTCAGTCGTTTGGTCTTTTTGCACAAAATTTAGTGACATTTCTTTATGTTAAAAGTCCAATAATACTTTGTTAAAAAAAAAAACCAAATACTTAACTTTACATTCAATATATCAAGTGGCTCAGTGGTAATGACGCAGATTGCGACTCCCCAGTAAACAAAAAAATGTGGGAGGTCTTGGGTTCGATACTCCGAGCTGGTGAGTCTACTTGTGGCCACGGGCTGGTGAAACTTCCCCATAGTCACTCCGGTCCCTAAAAGAATGGATAACCGTAACTTACCACCAGTTGTCTTCCTTTTTATTGCCAGAAAAAAAACTTTATATTCAATATCTAATCTAACCATAAATATCGAATACATTTGTTTTTAATTTCGTACTTATGTTTTCTATTTTGCTTATGAAATTCATGTGTTTTATTTTGTTAACAATTTTGGTTATTTTTGGGTAATTTATAAATCGATTTATTGATATGTTTTTTTTTTTTTTTCTTAAGATTGGTACATTTTTTTTTTTGTATTGATACATAGAAAAGGAAAAATGCGAGGGGAAAATGGAAGAGATATGATACACTTTTGGTACATAGATAAGTAATTTATAAGTCGCTTATTTGGTACACTTTTTGGCATAGCAAGTGGTGGACATGACATTCTTTTTTCAATCTATTACCTCTGGAGTTTAAATCTTCCATTTTATTAGTGTAGTAAATAGTATTATCGCTTGTACAAAAAAAAAAAAAAAAAAAAAAAAAAAAAAAAACTTCTTAGCATGAACTCATTTATAAATCTACATCATCATGCTAATTAGTTTAACATTTCATCATTACAGCTGAATTACTAGGCTTTAGTCATTACATTCCACCTTTTGCTGCTGCAATAGGATGGAAAATACTCCACGGTGTGAATTACGCATCCGGTGCAGCAGGTATTCGTGATGAATCGGGACGGAACCAGGTAACTATATAATTTCACACTCATTAATTTTTCTTTCTAATTATTCACGTACGTTTTTATTTTTATTTATTTTTTATTTTTTTATCTTTATGCTTGATTTTCCCTGCAAAGTTATGTTATTGGAACAACAAATATCTCTATAATACAATATTTAATTTGCAGGGTATGAGAGTAACCTTTAATAAGCAGTTGGTGAATCACCAAAACATAGTAAGACAGATTGTTTCCCTTCAGGGAAATAATAATTCAGCAGCTATCCAGTACCTGGGAAAGTGCATATATACAGTTACAATTGGCAGTAATGACTACATTAACAACTACTTTATGCCAAGGTTATACTCAACTAGCCGCCAATTTACCTCTGAGCAATATGCAGGAGTTCTTATTCAACAGTATTCTGGGCAAATAAAAGTTAGTGGTAAAACTTTGATGTTTCCCGATTCTAGTTTAATTTTCTCTTCCTAGACACGAGCATGCATGTTATGTTATCAAACTGTTAATTTAGAAAACAAATAAGGTGAACTCACTGTTATTCAAACGTTCATTCTAAATTCACAGTATGACGACATACCATGTGTGATACTAGTAAGAGATTAACCTATTCATATTAACTAAAAATATGTTATTTACGTCTACTCGCTGAATAACTTACTGGAATGCTAGACGTTGTACAATTCTGGGGCAAGAAAGATAGCCCTTTTCGGGCTCGGTACAATTGGTTCTATACCCTTTGAAGTGGCTATGTGCAATCGCAGCACAAACAACGTCTCTTTATGCTCAGATAACATGAACAGTGCAGTCCAAGTTTTCAACGCAAGGCTTCAATCACTTGTCGATGACCTTAACAGCAACCTAACCGACGCTAAGTTCACTTATATAGATTTCTACGGGATTGGATTATCCAGTGCCGCTGCATCTCTTGGTACGTAACTATTTTCTTATATACTTTCTTTCGCTTGGTATTTAACATAATTAATCTCAATTAGGGTGGAAAATAAGTGTAGAGCTTTATCAGTTGTTTGGTATTCCAGGTTCTGTGATTTTTGATGCACCATGCTGTGAGGTGGTACGTGAGACCGGGCTATGCGTCCCCTTCAATACCCCATGCCAAAACAGGACTCAGTATTCCTTTTGGGATGCAATCCATCCTAGTGAGAGTTCAAATGTTGTTCTAGGCGGAAGAGCATACAATGCCACGCTTCCTACTGATGCTGTTCCATTTGATATTAATCAGCTAGCTCAAGCGTAACTGCGTGGTAAAAATGAAGAGAATAATAAAGTTTCTGCTACTTACTACTACAGTCTAGTGGTAATATCATTTGTTTCAAAAAATGAAAAGCTTCTTATATTATAACGAAATAAAATACAACCTCCCACTGTCATTGCATCGCAGTTGTAAATAAATATACTACCCTATCAGGGTTTTTTTTTTTTTTTTTTTTTGTAGGAAAATTTAATAGTATTGAAGAAAGTTGAAGTTTCACGGTAAATCAATTGGTAATATGTGAAGTAGCCCAACTTACTTATAAGCTTATGCAAGGTCTATTCTCTCATCAATATGAGATTCTTTCTCAATAAGTAGAGTTAGTGATCCTGCAAAAATGATCGTGTGGCCCATATATTGACACATCAAAGTTTAGTGCTTAAAATTGGAGCCTTACAGGACATTTAAAAAAAAAAAAAACAAAAATAGTCTTGTATAACCGCCAGAATTTGTATGCAAGATGAGCCTAGCTACCGGAGTGCCCATCAACCGAGCCGCAAGGTTTGAGAATAAGGTGGGATCCCTGAATGTAGTGGTCGGTGAATCACTGATCAAAAAGCTGATTTTGGAGAGATTATTCATCCATGTAGTGGCTGGTGAATCAAAGAAATTCTAAGGTCTAGAGATAGGATCAGGTCATCCCTACGGACTAAGACACAAAGGCGTTTGTTGCGTCGGACTATCTCGGACTGGACTAGCTTTAAGGATTAAGCTGGACTAGCTTAGACTAGACTAAGCTGGACTAACTTAGTGAAGTGTTTGGTGCAGTGTTGGACTAAGAAGCTGGATAATAACAAATTCTAATATTATATTATTTAATATATAAATTATTAATATTTTATTATGATCTAGGTGACCGGAGATGACGAGGAGTCTATCAAGAGTGGTTGTTGAGCATGACGAGGACGAGAGGAGATAGTCTTAGCTAGTCCCATGGTTATTGGGGGGTCTCGCTAAGACCTCTTAGTGAAGGGTTTTGTCCATGCTAGTCCCCTTTAGTCTCATTAATGTTAGTCCCAGCATGGAACAAACACCTTATTGGACTAACAGCTAGTCCAGTCCAGTCCAGTCCCACTTAGTGAGGGCAAACAAACGCCCCCGATCCTGTCCTACCGCACTATCATGTTAACCCTGTCTCACTTTTTATGCAATTTCCTCTCACACCACCCCTAATCGGGCAAAGAATCTCTCTTTGCATAAAGGGGCATGACAACCAAAACCAACAAAATCCTTGCATAGATGGACATAATAGTCAATGAACCAATTAAAGATTAAAAAAAAAAAATTAAAGTTTCAGATCTTAACCCTGACAAGCCCGTTATTTCTGATTATTTACAGAATTTCAAGAGACAAACTCAAAGCCCTAAAACGAAGCAACGGACATCCCGTTGCTTGAAATGAAAGTGTTATGCAAAAACTAGATAAAATTAATTAAGTACCCCAACAAATTAGTGTGTGTGTGTATTTTATTGAGTATCAACATTATTGCAAATAAATTGAAACAATTCTATAATTGTTGACTCTAAAAATTACCAAGCCTACGTGACGATAAGCCGAGTAACTAAGATCTAACTGCGTCCTTCTTGTAGTTGATGCAAGCGTGCTAACTTGCCACCAAGGTGAGTCGAGCAAGTAAGATTGTGGTTGTGCTGTCAAAGCGCGCTGCTTTCTAGACCGAAAGACTACAGTTGAGAAAGGAACAGTCTCGACCTAGGGTTCTTAAAACATGAAGATAAGGTTACTAATCTCGGTGCGAAGTTCAATAATTGATTCGAATTTCGTTGTGTTGAACAATGAGTAACATGGGAACACCTCACTTTGCCGAAACTGATGAGATGATCTCTTCAGACAAAAAAAATAGAGAATTCCTCGTTTGCCGAGACTTGGATAGACAACTAACAAGGATATGAGAGTGTTGTTTAACCAAACTGAAAGTCTCCTAGGCCATGTAGGTTCTACATCTCCAGTAATGTTTAACCAAGCTAAAGGTGTCGCCGATTGTTGACACAGTGATGTTTAACCAAATTGAATATCGGCCAACGAAGACGCGTTAGTGAGTAGTTAGTATTTTTCTCAGGGTGTGAGAAGGTTTTGTGTAGAGCGTTGATTTTTGTGTTGAGTTGAAGATCATTTTCTCGTTGTGAAGCCCCTTCTATTTATAGGCAAACCATTAAGGATAAGTCGATTTATCGAGGTAGAGTCATGATAGGACTAAGCCTCCTCGACATTTCTCTGAATATTCCAACCCATCCTTCCTTAACCGAAACTTATACCTAATCCATTCGAAACATGACTCTAAACCTAGTTCCTTTTTTAACTTAAATCATTCTTATCTGATTAAGCATGCATTTTGATCCTTTGAATAACCCCAAATTTATCAGAATCGATTGTCAATCCTTAACAGTTATAGTTCATTTAGGACTCGGCCGAACCCTGCTCAAATGTAATTTCTCCACTGTCCTTCAATCATAAGAACTCGGCTGGGATATCATTGTCTTAAACTGCTCAAATGTAATATCTCCACAGTCCTTCAATCATAGAGTAGTTTGTTACTGTTATAAAGTGTCGTAATGCTTTCACTTTCTTATTAATTAGAAACCACTCAGATTCTTGCTTTCGTTGCTCTATCTCCTTCTCTTTCTCTTGTTCTTTCTCCAAATTCATCAAAACTTTCTTTAATCTTTTTCTTCATCAATGGAGATTATCTCAGTACTATTAGTAACCTGATCAACCAATAGCATTCTCCACTCCACAATATAGCACCATTTTTTAGCTTTGGCATTCATGATAGAGCATCTTCAATGGTGTAGGAGCATCTCTAATAGAGAAAATTTGAGATGTAAAAGCTATATATTGCATTTTTCAAGAGGTGTAAATGATGGTTCTACACTTACGAGAGAGATGTAAATTTGAGATTCTATTTATTGTTCGTTCTTTAACTGCCAGGATGACACACCCCGATCCTAGAATCAAGGCGTGCTGGTCGGGGTGTGTCACAGGACCCACCTCCAAAACATGTAAAAAGAGATTATATTTACATTTTTATTTACATCTCCCCGTGAAGATGAATATTCTACATCCTGTCATTAGAATGTTTTACAGCCAACTTAAAATGTAAAATAAAAATTTCAAAACATTTGTATCTTCCATTAGAAATTCTCTAAGCAATTGAGTAGGCAAATCATGCCTCACATTTCTTCTTATAATAAAATATTTCATGTGAAGAAAGATGACAAAACTATAAAATAAATGTAGATGTAATCTGAATGAAAGAGAATAATAAAATATAATTATGCTTAATTTATTGGAGGGACATACTTTTTTTTATGAAACAATTAAATAAGCTTGGCATTTTGAGCAAAAAATCAGAAACCAAACCATAACGACTTGACTGATGCAGTGTTCAAATGTTCAATTTTAATATATTTTGTATTATTTAATTAGGATATTAGATAAAACTTGTAAAATATTCGTAAAAAAGTGTAACGAGGTAGGGTCGAGGTAAACTTGTCATCAAACATGAGTAAGAAAATATGACAAGCTAGAATAGCAATATCAAAAAAAAAAAAAAAAAAAATCTATGTTGACTTTGTAATAGAGACCTTTAACGAAAAGTTATCGGTATTCATTTTAACGAAAAACCACATTTTTACACAAAAAAGTCAATCATGATACTATTTACTTTACCCTTTATTTTGTCCTTATCGTCAAAACTAAAAGTTTTCAAATCATTTTCATTAGTTTTCTTTTTGTAATATGAAGATAAACATTGAGAAAATACTATTGCGGAATAAAACTGTAGATATATCATTTTCCTTCAGTAAGGTGATAGCATTAGTGAATTAAATAAGGTACTTTGCTAAACGAGAAGAGAATAAATGACAATACATGTATCATTCTTGAATGAAAAGTAGTAGGTATTCAAGAAAGCACTAAATGGTAATGATTTTATTTTAGGATGCTCTAGCTCTTACAATTCATGATTTCTAGATAAAAACCCATATACATATAAACATCTAATAAAAACCCAAATTTAAAATCTGCAGCCACATTAGAACACTATTGACCTACTAATACAATTTATTTACACCTATGCCACTTTTCCAAATCCCTAAATTTATTCCAAATTAAAAGTTGTAGAAAAAGTGAAATAAAATATATAAAATGTTGTATTGCATTAATTGTATCCATATCATACCAAAAATTTACCTTTTATATTGCTTTAATTGGGAAGTAAATTAATTTATTCCAATTATTAAAAAAATTATACTAAATCCATATTATATATTTGAATCACATAACACTTCTCTAACTTGTAGGTAAATTAATTTTCATGTATTGTTACATATATTAGGCACGTTTTATTATTGTATAAATATAGGTATGACATAATATTTTTCAATATAATACATCAAATTACATTTCTTCTTGTTATGGGTAAATTATTCTCCATATATTAGTGAAAAAAAAAGATATTATATTACACACGGGTTATAATTTTTTCATAGGTAAATTATTGGAAATTAATTTGTGGGTAGGTAAATTAATTTGTTCCAATTATATAAAAATATATATATAATACACCTTGATTATATATATATATATATATATATATATATTTTTTTTTTTTTTTTTGAGAAAACCTAGATTATATATTTTGAATCAAATAACATTTTTGTATACATGGTAGGTAAATTATTTTTCATGTATTATTACATATATTAGCCTATTATTGACGTTTTTTGGTAAAAATATATAAAGTAATATGTATATGATTGTTTGTAGGTAAAAAGATACAATCAAAAGCATGATCCAATTCCTAAGTTTATGCAATATTTTTGTTGTTGGTATACAATATTTTGCATCATTGGAAATGAACATTTCAAATAGTAGGTAGGCAAATTAATAGGGAGTTTCAACGAAAAGCCCGTGGTACTGTTCATTTTAACGAAAAACCATATTTTTACACTAAAAAATCAAACATGGTACTATTCATTTTATTCTTTATTTTGTCCTTATAGTTAAAACTCAAAGTTTTCAAGCACCTTTCATTAGTTTTCCTAAATTAATATGGTCTAATTATATATGAACACATAATGCCAGATACATAGAATTAAGCAAACAATTCTCATATTTGATATTAATATGCGATGAATTTTTTTATCATTAATGTCTTATTTTTCTTATTTTTCTTTTTGCAAAATCATTAACTCTCTCCTTATAATCTGCATATAGAATTAACTGTGCACATCAAATATGCAATACGGGTATTTTAGGCATCTAAAAATGTAAAATGTGTAAATTAATATGTAATTAATGAATTCACTTAGGTAGATCCTAATCACTGGGTTTTTTTTTTGAGTAAAAAAATTATGTCGGTTTTATATGAAAAAAAATTAAATTTGAGGGATTAAAGTCATATTTTCAGTTTATTTATTCTCCATCAGTTGTTGAACCCTAGCTCAACACTTGTACTCACAAAAACAAGAAGTATAGAAAGGAGCTCCAACGCTATAACAGTATCCACTTCCTTCTTGAGGTCCAGGATATTTGGAAGCACACTGTGAGTTACAATCACTCTCTGAGCAGTTCTCACCCCATATTCCCAAGCTGATTTTGCACTTTTTCGAGTATGGCGGCGGCGATGGAGGTCCACAGTCGTAGAAGCATCTGCAAACCGGGTTGTTGTTGTTCAAATCACAACCGGCCTTAGCCCCAGGATGTGCAGATGTGCACCTTGAACTGCAGTCAGGATCGCATGCACCCATATCTTCGGTGCAAACGTCACCTTTCACCATGGGCATGAGTGTCCCTAATGAAACCATTTACCATCATCATAGATTAAAACAAAATATTAGTGTAAATTATGAATAAAGCAATTACTTCAAGGAAAAAGAGAATAAAACAAAGTATACCTACAGCGAATATAAGAAGCAAGACAAGGACGGTGGAAAAAGCTCCAGATAGAGTAGCCATTGTCATGAAATCCAATATCTTCAGGTCTTGTGTGATTCTAATGCTTGGTCTTTAGCTATTTATAACGAAGAAAAAAATCTTAGGCTTTACCTTCTGTGAGGAGATTATCATGATTAGTTAAGGAGTATTTTTCCAAAAAAAATTAATAGGAAATAGAAGCTAGAGATCCTGATTTAATTGAGAATCCAAGAAGTTAACCTTTTTTGTATGGTGGTATGGATGCCGCATAATATCTATGGTAACATTTCATGCCAATTAGCTATCATAGATGGATTTATTACCATTATAAAACGCTAGTTACTTTCTTTGATTAATTATAAATATAAATTTTCATTTAATTTTATACAACTATCCAAAATGAGAAGTTACCTTTTTCTTGTCAAATGATAGATTTTAGGCTTATTATATTAGCACCCTATATATTGTTGAATAAACTCCACAAACTTAATACACCCCCACATTTATTTTTTTTAATTAAAAATTATTTTAATACACCTCACATACTTCTTCATAATACCCTTAGACTCCACATTATCAACATACATCTTATATTTTCCACAGCACTTACATCCCATATTTTCTATACATCCCACATCTTCAAATCTTATAGTACTCATTTTTAATTTTATAAATTAAATTGACTTAGGAGTAAAACCCTCTCTGAGAATCATACACCTCAAATATTTGCTAAGAATCATACATGTGGAGCCTAGAATAATCCCAAAAATTCTAGAGGCGACACGTGGACTTTTGCTCAAGAAAGACAAGATTGCACTCATTAAATGAGAAGGCTCCTCAAATACTCCCACGCGCAGCTCACACCCCTGAATGTACATGCAGTTGAATATGACTGCTAGACCTGACATTCGTGTCGTTTTTTCTGTGTTCGTGTCGTTTTCGTGTCATACCCGATATCTTAATGGGTCGTGTCGTGTAACACCTGTTAAAATAAACGGGTAAAATGATCCGACCGGAAATCGACCCGATAGTATTAACAGGTAATATGACCCAACCCGTTACCCGTTAAAGAAAATATATTTTAAACCAATAAATAATCAAATGAAAAACGTAATACTGAATAAGTATATACATACCATATTGTCACATCCAAAACATAAAAACGCAATTTTCTTTTAAGTATATTTTCACTTACCTAAAGTCTTTAATAATTTTTTAATTAATGTAGAAGTGTAAAAATATGTAGAAAAAATATATAAATACTCGTAATGACAAGTTTTACAACTTTCATAAAGAGCTTAACTTCGAAATTTGCCACTATAATCATATAAATCATAGATCAAAATTTAACCATTGATTGTTGTTTACATTTACACTTCATTGTTCTCATTAAATTTTGTTTTTTCAGATTTTGTTTTTTGAAAACTTGATCTATTAGAGGATGCATGAAGATGAACAGTTTGGATCATTGATATTATATTCAGAGTTTTACGATTAGTGAAAATATTGCTTAATGTTTATTAAGTTTCTACAAACTATATGACATCGACTCATATTTCAGTTAACTGTAAATATCAAAACGTGATATCAAAGATCTGAACCATTCATCTTCTTACATCTGCCAGATGATCATGTTATCAAAAAAGAAAATTTAAAAAATGAAATTCAGTAAGAAGAATAAAGTGTAAATGGCAATTGACGGTTAAATATAAATTTAAGGTTTATGAATTATAGTGTTGGATTTCGAAGCTGACCCCTTCATGAAAGTTGTGAAGTTTGTCACTATAAGTGATTGTATATTTTTTTTTTACATTTTTTACACTTCTACAATAATTATTATTAATTTTATTAATTTTGCCCTCAAATAAAAAACATTATTCATGAAGGTTTGGAGGATTTTAAAAATCTAAACAATAATGTAAATATAACCATTATCTACTCGTAGAGGAATAATGATGAATCACCAATGTTTATATATTCTTTCACATTTTTCATACTTGTATGTATGTCTTCTTAGTTCTTGCCTATACACATATTATATTAGTTTATTTTAATTTTGGACAACAACATGTTAAGTAAAATTTATCCTAGTAATGATAATAAGGAACCCTCATAATAAAAATAAATAATGACTAAAACTTTTTTTTTTAAACTTATATAGAATAATAATACAAAACTATATATTTAATATAGAATATATTGTATATTAATATGGCTATTGTATTTTATAATAAATCTTTTAGTAATTAAACTTTAAAATTATCAAAATAATTTTTTTTCTTAACGGGTCGAAACGGGTTACCCACGTGTTTCCCACGTGTATACCCGTTAAGAACCCGTTATTAACGGGTTCTTAATGGGTCACCCAATAATAACCCGATAAGTTATCGTGTTGACCCGAAACCCATTATTTTCGTGTCGTGTCAGAAACTGCCAGGTCTAACGACTGCCCAAAACTCACCTGCCATTGGCAAGGAAAAGTCAAAGCATTAAAGATAAGGAATAATACTCAAATCCTATCTTTAATACATTCCCAATTAAAGATTGACTCCATTCAAGTAAGTAATCCCTATTTAAATCAATTAGGAATATTTACTCTATTATCTCAAGATATTATTTCTTATTTAATATCTTAAAAAAATTTCATCATAAACCTTGGCCAATAGTATACCTGGCAATTTCTTACACGACATGTTAACACAACACGTAAATAACACGAAAAATTGCGGGTTTCGGTTTAACACGATAACTAATCGGGTCACATGATAAGAACCCGTTAATAATGTGTCCATAACAGGTTTGCATGAAGGTGACACGTGGGTAATCCGTTTCAATACGTTAGGAAAAAAGTTATTTTGATGATTTTAATTTTTTTAAACTACTAAAAATCTTACTATAAAATACAGTAACCATAGTTTACATGTATATCTTGTATATTAAATATGTATTATTGTATTATTATTCTATATAAATTTAATAAGTTTAAGTTTTATTTAGTTATTTATTTTTATAGTAGTATACTATAGGCAAGAGTGAGATTAAAAAATTATAAAACACATTCAAAATAAAAATATCAAGTAATTTAAAAATACTAAACACACTAAAAAAATTATAATAATTAATTTACAAGTGTGAAAAAGTGTGAAAAAATGTGAAAAAATATGCAAAGGCTCGTGATTGATGCTACGCTTTGAGTATGGGTATATCGTATTTTTAAAACCATACAAACCCTCATGAATAGTATTTTTAAGGGAGTTCAAAATAAATAAAATTCATAATTATTAATGTAGAAGTCTGAAAAATGTGAAATCATATATCACTAGTACAAAAAAGACTTTGCGTGACGCAGGTCCTTCGTCGAGCAAAGTAAAAAACAGGTCGCGCAAAAATTAGCCCAACGAACCTTCATCGCGCATCCACTGACACACCCCGTCCCGAAGGAGGGCATGCTGGCCGTCACGTGAGAGTGACGTAACCATTTACACAGTTCGGAAGCTTTAAAAAAAATACAATTACTAAGATGAAACACCCGAGGGTGAGTCCTACTTTTGTGAATTCTGTCAGAACACCGTTGGATTCCTCGTGGCCACCAAAGCTCTGCTATCTAGAACCTGGAGGGACGCAAAACAAAGTTGAGTGGGTCAGTAAAACAAAATTTTTCGAAAACATTTCAATTAACACATTTCTAACCTCTCGCTGTAAAACCTGTATACTTTCCCAGAAATTAACATATATATACCATATATAATCTCAAACTCAAATCTCAAGTCTTTAACACTTTTCAAGAAAATATGCCATGCAATGCATCAAAACATAATAAAGATGCATCAATATAACGGGTGAAATAAGGAATCAACCGGAGACCCTGCAGTTGGTCCTGTACGGTTAATTCTATAGCTCAATATCTAATCCAGTCGGAGTCACCACGGTGACCTGTACGGCACTGCCGGAGTCACCAACTGTAACCTGTACGGCACTACACTGCACATAAGTCGGAACTACCTGAAGTAGTCTGTACGACAAGAATGGTGAAATAATACGCTCTGGTGCTTCTCTCATCAATCATCTGCGCGCATAATCTAAGGTCACCTACTAGTCGGAACCACCTCTAGTGATCTGTACGACTAGCATGTCGGAACCCTCTCATGGTCTGTACGACATGCACCTACTTGGATCCAAGGTGAGAGTGTGGTGCGGTGAATACTATAAGCACTATGATAAGCTCATATTTATATATATTTTACATCAAATTCACTTGTCTTTTCTTAGTTAGTTCCTTATATTTTTGAGCTATTTACTTTGTTTTTGTGTTTTGTGGGATTTGTCAAGCAAATAAAAGAAAAATAGCACAAGTAGGATTTTTAGTAACAAATTCGTCAAAACTGCCTGTGCAGATCAGCTGACTTTGGAAGCAAGTTGCGAACCGTTCAGAATGAATTAGAGAATGATCCTTATATACTTGGAAAGCTACGGATGTCTATTTTCTATAACATTTCGCGGATTGTTAATATCATTTTTCTAGAAGAAGTTATGGCTGTTTTAACACTGAAAGGTTTCCAAGACGCTGAGCAGTTTGTAACTGCATTGAAGGCAATAAATCCAATAAAACTAGCAGCCAAAACTGATGCAGCCAAGAACAAATCAGCTGACACCTCTTCAAATATCAGATGAAATGGAATTAAAAATGAGGATTAAGAGAGAGTAATTGGCATAAAGGCTACCTAAAGTGTTACAATTGTTTTACCACATTTCCTCTCACTTATTGTCATCACTAAATGGCTATTAGTGGGTGAGTTAAGGAGAAGAAAATGATGCAGCAAGAATGGGTTTAAAAGCATCATTGGGGAAGGAAGTAAGGGGGGAGGAAGCCTCGGTCGATTTCTTTCGGTTCTATCTTCTCAAACTCATGTCTATCTTTTGTTTTAACTTAAGGATTGTGTGTAACTAAATTTTTAGTAGTTAGGGGCTGTTTTGAAGCCTCGAATATGATTGCAATTTTGTTATGACATTTCGTTGAATTACTTTTATGAATGGATGAAAATTGGTTCATTACTTGTCTCATTGATGAATTCTTTATTTGTTTTCTATGGATGCATACGTAGTAAGCATATCTAGGATTCTAATGCTATGAATATGTGTGTGCCTGCCCTTGTTGAATGAGGACCTACATATGTTCTAGAGTAGTACTTGTTAATTGCGATTAACATGTGAACTAATTTCTAGGATAAGTAAGACAACGCCAGTACTTACGATGCCTTGTGATGACTCAAACTCTTTTCGTTCTTAATGATTCCTACTTGTTAAATATATGAACACGCCATTCTAGATTGCATGCTAGGGACTAAGTTAAGTTGAAAACGTCATTCTCTTAACATACTACATAAGAAAGAGTAATAGGTTGTGTTCTAACATTGAGCCAACTTGAGCATCTTCATCCGGAAATAAAAGAAATTTGAATGAAACATAACATGTTTGCATGATTATTTGGTGGTGGATAGCAATACCCCTAACTCGTTTTTCTTAATTTGTGAACTACTTAAAATTTGTTTCTATCCTGTTTTTGTTCGATTTAATTTAAATATCAAATCAACTCCAAAAATCCCAACATTTGTGTGAGTGTAGCTTTGTGTGTCTAGTATCTACATATAAAATTTCGTAGACTTTAGATATGTATAAGTCAGTCTAATAATTATTTTTCGGTGGCTGGTCAGTAGGGACAGCAACCCAGTTTTTGTGACATTTTAGGTAGTTAGATAAAACAATCTTCTGCGGGAAAGACCCTTATTTTCATATGCTACAATTGACAAATCTTAGTGTTAATAAGGAAAATAAATATGACATTTGTGTGCTACTTTGTGGTGTGCTTTTAATCCTATCACACTAACACCAGGGGTGCATGTTATGAGCTCTCAACACAAATCACATCATCATTAATTCGTATAAACCATATAAACTCACCTGATACTCACCTGTGCGTCCACAGCACCAATTCACACATATATATACATCAATTATCAATTCATATATTTCATAATGTGCACGCATAGCATTTTAAATCATACTTTCATTTAAATTCAATTTCTGGGAAAAATCAATAGTATATAGGTAAATACAGAAAATACTGCCCACTCACCTGGAGTTCGCCCTACAACTCCCTAGCACAATACATCAAGGCGTCATCACGATCGGCGCCTAGAACAATAATCAAATCCAACCTCAGAAATCATATCGATAGAATATAACTTATATAAAACACGTCACTACGCAGTTCAATCCGAAAGATCTGCAACTCAGATTTCCAATCCATAACTCCAGAGGTCCAAAATATACCTCTAGGACAACATCCTAAAATTTCATTACCAACCAACGGTCTGATCTCCGTCAATTTCCAAAACCAAGTGACGGTTAACATTCTATTTTATGAACTTACAACTCAAATTCCAGAAGATCCGTAAATCGGATTCCCGATCTGTAAGTTCCTATAATCCTCAAATATTACATACTACGATGTATCAAAGTTTGGTGACGATCCAACGGTCGGATCGTAAATTCACATTTTCACCTAACCACGAATCGTAACGAACTTAGGTTCAATTACTCAATTTACGTCCATCAATTATCAAAACTGAACCTAGAGCATTAAACACATGCTAAGAATGAAATTGGCGGGCCACTGGCCATGCGCCGCCACACGGGCCGCACGGGCCGTAGCGGGTGGCGGTTGGCCACCCCGGCTCGCCGGAAAATCCAACTATTTCAAAAAATTCTCAAAAAATACAGAATTGAAGATCTCAATGAGTAGAGCAAACTTTATACCTGAGGCCAAGGCCAATTTGGCCTGGAAACACTTCAATTTCACCAAAATCCGTGTGGAACCCTAGAATTGGGTGAGTTCCAATTCGTCTTCAAATAAACTCCGTCGTCCCAATCAATGCTTGGGCTTTGTTCTAGGCCTCAAGAGGAAGCTATGGGTGGTGGAAATTGAAAGAATTTGCTTCGGGATTGGGTGATTCGAAGCCAAAGTCGCCGCACCCCTTCTTGCGGTTTTCTCCATTTTCAAGGCCAAATGTCTCCAAATTTGAGATGGAATGGATAGAGGAGAGGTCATGGAGAAGTTTCCAAGTGATTTCTTGAAGAAATTCGCAGGAAAAATGGTGGAATTTCGACGGAAATGTGTAGAAAATCCGATGGGTCGCGCGCGGGTCGAATTGGGTCCGGCCGATCCCCTCCTTTTCCTTCTCCCTTCTTTCCTCCTTTCGTTGATTCTGATTGGTCCTTCCCTTCTCTCACTGTTCCGATTGGTCCATCTCCTCCTTCCTTGGTTGGGCAGCCAATCCCCCTTCTTCTTTCTTTTATTTCTGATAGGGCAGTCCACCTCTCTCCCCTCTCTAACTGGGCAGCGCCCAACCTTTAATTCCCCTTCTTAAAACTGAAATTCTACCACAAATAATTGAATTACTAAAATGTCTCAAACTTTAAACGTTAATATCTTCTTCGATATAACTCCAAATCACGAACCGCTTGCGCCCACGTGTCTGTAGCGACGAGTACTACGAGGATATGCCAAGAAAACAAATCTTAGATGGCACGACACAACGATTAACCTCGACCAATGCGTGTGCCTCAAAGGGCTTTTTTTTTTGTAAAATCCTTTATTAAAACTTTAGAAACTCTTAAAATCAGGGACGGGCTGTCACATCCACTGTCGCGCCAAGGCAATGACAGTAGGGTTTGTGCGATGAATAATTGACCTACGTCGCGCAAACCCTTTTTTTTTTTTGCAAAATTTTTTTAATTTAATTTTTAATAAATATTGTAATTAAATTCTAAACAATAATTAATAAACCAATAAAAATTATTTAATTATAAAATATATGAAAATGTACATACAAGATGTCCGAACAAAAAAGAAAAAACTACAAGTCTTCTAGGTTCAGTACATCATGCTATTGGGTATTGGCTGGGCGAAGTGGCTTGGAAGTCGAAGGTGGAGTAAGATCAGATGCTGGCATTAGGATTTGGAGGCCGGACATCGCTAAGGCCTGTACTATCACACTCATCTTCTCATCTTGGGCCCTAATGTGCTCTGGAGGACGAGGAAGAGTGATCAGAAGGCGCCGGCTCCAACAAACAATTCATTCGAGAGACATCACAATGATCAACCAGGGCAGTGCTTACATTGTTGCGTAATGCTCAACCAGAATATGCCCTGCACCTAGAGCTGCCTCACGTACAGACTCATTTTCATCAGCAAGACCTGTAAGAGTAGAAGCTCCCATTAAGTTTAAATAGTGCACCAAAGTCCTATAGTGATACATGATACCATATTTTACAGCACAAACTGTACTTACCATCTAAAATACCATATTTCACTAAATACCTTGAAAGTAAAATGGGTCGAGAATCATTTAATTGACCGATAAAAAAAGCATACGATGGATGAAATAAATGGTCTAAAAACTTATGACATTATAATTCACAGCATAAATAATTGGCTTGTAATTATTAACATTATCAATGAAAGCTGATCTAAACTTAGTGGGAATGGAGTGAAAGGAAATCAATGTATATTTAAGTTACCAAGTAATGCAAAAGAAAACTCTTATTTTCAATATACAAAAAATACATTTAAGTTACCAGATATGACCATGTTCCCAGCTTTTCAAGCATGCAATTCAATTTCAGTTTAAAAAATTAATAATTAATATGAGATGCAATAGAAGTTTAAAAGTGCTCAGACAAAAAAAAAAAAAAAAAATTCTTATTTTAAAGAGTAAAACTGACCTCGCTCAACCCTTGAGCTGCTCCAGAGCGCTCAACATTACTATTATCAGATTTAAGTGTATCAAACTAACACCATAGCACACCATGTTGCAACTGTATACTACTTTGGGAACCAACACGGCTGCACCCACCCAAATTCGAAACCCACACGTGTTCGCGTCTTCACGTTAAGAGGCGCTTAGACTATCGATGATAATATTCATAATCAATCGCAGTCAGCCAACAAACAAATTCAAATTACCTCAAGTTGGGCTGAAAGGAATCTTGGCACAGCCAAACAATCTTGCTGTCATGCCCCCTAACAAACTTCAGTCGTTGAAAGCTTGTTTCTAGCTTTCTCTGACCTTCCCGGGTCAATCGATCCCCATTCTTGGGATCATATAATGAGCTGGGGTTGCTATATAAACACCGGCCAATGCCACTGTATCGACGTCCATCAAACAAAAAATCTTCTAGAGAAAAATATTGCAATTTTCCTTAGCTTCCAAAATGAATAGTAAGATGTCTGATGTTCCCGCCACTGAAATCCCCAAATGCTTAAGAAGCAGAAAGCCTCTTCCTAAGAGGGGGCAGATCAAATCAAAAATAGCTGCAAATGCTATCCATTTCATAGTCTCCGTGCTCTCCAAAGCCTCTTCAGATTGCAAACGTCGCTGCAGCAAAACCCATATTTAGTGAGAGATAGAGCAGTAGAAATAGTCATATCATGGTCAGTTGATCACTACCTTCTCAATGTATTTATCTTTTCCTATATATCATTTTGTTTCTGTTCACTTGGAAAAAAGAGAAAAATAGAACTTGGAACAACAACAAGAAGATGTCAAGGAAATGGCTACATCTTACTTTGATCACTGTCACACATAATTCAACAGAAAATGTAAGCCGGTCGTACAAACCAAACCCAACCCCACCACACCCATCAGGACGTTCTTCTTGAAGTTGAATTTGCTTTTCCATTTCCAATTCTGAATTGTTAGCATTAATTTTTAGCCATTTTACTGTTGTAGCAAGTGTTATTTTCATCTCTTTCTCTTTCCTTGGGGATCAGTCTATTCAACCATGCGATGCAACACCAAATCCAAATATACAAATAACAGAACAAGATAGCTTCACCTGTAGGTAGCAACATGGCGGGTTTGACATTTCCAAGGTCTCCCTAAAAACAAGGGCATTCATTAGAAAAAAAATATCAATACATATACACAAATGGATTATGTTCTGCTCCCCGCTACCCGCACAACTTGCATTAAAAGTAATATAATCATCTATTAACATTGTCAAAAAAATAATAAGAAGTCACCAAATCCTCGCCATTGTTTTAGAATATGTGTTCTCCCCTGGTCCTTTCAGCCAATCTGGTAAAGAAAACCAGGGACCAGAACCGAGGTCCACCTTGGAGCTTGTAGACAACCCGCACGTATACGTGTTAGGACAAACTTGAACCAATCATTAGCATTAAACTATGTATAATACTTTTAATTAGCCACCAAATCATCACACAAATTCAAATGTCTCAAGTTGGGCTGAAATGAATCTTGTACAGCAAGACATTCTAGCTGGCATGCATGCCCCCTAACAATCACCGGTCTCTGAAACCAACACGGCTGCACCCACCCTAATTCGAAACCCACATAACCTCAAATCCTCACAAATCTGAAATCCTATCAAATCAGAACCAACATCCAATTTTATCTGGAGATTTTGACAAAGTACTCATAAATCAACATGCAATTTGACCCTAAACCCTAAATAACAAAAACCCATCGAAAATCAGAAACTTTTGGGACTTGATTCGAAAATTAGAAACCCTCATAAATCAACGCATTGTGCGAAACTAGTTTCAACGATCCAACCGTCAAACCTATTTGTATATGCTTCGAGCTTGCATACGCCAAAAATCAAACAAACATGCAGAGATCAAGTAACGGGATAAAACTTTTCGACGGTTATAAACGAAAAAGCACGATTTAACAGTAGTTTTAACTCTGATTTTGATGATTTTTTACAGCTACACTCCTAGATCCTATGAATACAATGAACTAATTCGATCGCCAATTTAAAATATTTACACAAGTGGATACCACAAAATCTTATGTTATACTTAATGAAAGTATAAATAAACTCAAAGTGTTAGTGAATCTATTGTTTTGATGGGAAACGCATTGTATGAAACTAGTTTTAACTATCCAACCATCAAACTTGTTTGTATATGCTTCGAGATTGCATACGCCAAAAATTGCAAAAAACAAACATTCAGAGATTATGTAACGGGACAAGCCTTTTCGATGGTTATAAACTAAAAATCACCATTTAACAGTAGTTTTAACTCTGATTTTGATGATTTTTGACACACCTCGACCTAAATTGAGGCATGCTGGCCGTCACGTGAGGGTGACGTAGCCATGTGCGATGTGTGGAAGTAAAGGTGATAAGATAATATGGGTAAATAAAAAATCAAACTAACTTACACTAGACTAGTATATAAGTACGAGTGAAAGTGTTAGAGTGTAGATACACATAATTAGAGCGTAGGTACCAAAGTGCAGTCTAGCAGGCTAAATACTAATTATACAGGATATGAAAGAAAACCCTACATTGATGGATGTCTGTCAGAACCGCTGTAGAGTCATCGTGAGCCACCAACACGAACTTCTAACTAGAACTTGGAGGGGTGCAAAAACAGAAAACATGAGTGAGCAAAAACAAAGCTTTGCAAAACCATTTCTCTTTTCAAAAGTAATAACCCCTCACTGTAAAACCTGTATAGTTTCCCAGAAAATAATAATACATATGTATATAAAGATCACGCTCGAGAGTAGTGAAAATCAAATATATATATATATATATATGCCATGTCAAGTGTCTCAGCATGGAAATAAGTAAGCCAGGTGAAATAAATCAATGTAAAATGATGTCAGTCGGAGTCACCTAATGTGACATGTACGGCTGAACCTATAGCTCATCAGGTATGCCTGCACACGAGTCGGAACCACCTATTGTGGTATGTACGACAGGGCTGGGTGTAAATAAGTACGCTCAAGTGCTACGATCACGTGAAAGCTGTGCGAATAATCGCGAGTCACCTACGAGTCGGAACTACCTAATGTGGTCTGTACGACAAGGATGTGCACCAAATTTGGATCCAAGGTGAGCGTGCAGTGTGGGAGGTGAACATTACGTGAAGGATTGTGCCCTGGCCACCGGCGGGAGCACTAGCACCGGGGTGCAGGATAATGAGCTCTAAATACATCTATGTATAACCACAAACAATGCATCCATTATCATTGATATATACTCACATGAAGCTTACCTGGGCGTCCGCAGCATCAAGCAACAATATGCTTATCTATACTAATGCTTACTCTAAAGCATAATGCAATTGACATGGCATTTAAAATCGTAAATCCATTTAAAAAAAAATTCTGGGAAAACGCAAAGCATATATATATATATATATATATATATATATATATATATATATATATATATATATATATATATATATATACGTATATATAGAAAACCAAAAGCCCACTCACCGGTATGCAGCTGGATCATAACCCCCAAGTCTCGCTTGGTTGTGCTCGTCCTCCGAAAACGTCATACCTATATGTGAAACCACTATTTTAACGTTAATTTTAAGTACATAACCAAAACTGTGTAATAATTTCTCATACTTTGCTCAATTGGGGTGTTTGAATAAACCATCGTGCCATGCTCAACACCACGAGCATCCCCAAATTTTTAGAATAATTTTCTAAGGTCCCACGCGCTCTTATGCGCCGGCCAAGGCACGGCCACACGCGCCGACCACACGCAGACACGTCCATGGCACACTGATGGAACCTTTAATGCCGTTAGAGAATATTTTGTTAAATAGTAGCATATACCGTTAAATTTACACTGATGAAATCCGGTGCCGGTCGCCGCTGCGTCGCCGTTTCTGGAAAAATTTAAAACTTGAATTTCTACTTCGTTTCAATACCAAACTTCACAAATTTTATATAGATTTGAAGCTCTCAACAAGGGGAACAAATCCTTACCTCTTAAAGGTCCTAAAACTGACGGGAAATAGTTGGAAAATAGCTCGACACAACCGGCCAAACTTGAAACTCGACAAACTCGAGTATTCATTAGTAGAAAAACATGTTTGCCCGACAGAATCTTGCTCGACGCAGCAAATTTCGTCACGCAAAGTATGTTTACGCGACCTTAAACACAAAACATCGTGCAAAGGACTAGTCGTCTGTCTGCCGTTTTTTGTTTGTCTCAGTTTCTAAGTCATCTCCAGATCTCTCTCTCTCTCTCTCTCTCTCTCTCTCTCTCTCACTTTTTTTAGGCAACTCTCTCTCATTAACTCTTCAGTTAAATAGGTCTACAACAACGCCTTATATGTCACTTGCAATTGAGGGGAGGGTTTTTCTTTTAATGTATAGGGGTCTCGGGGCATTTGCAAGCCAATCATTTGTAAACGTTTATATACACTTAAATCAACAAGTTCTCACAAAGCATCCGTTGTAGCAATGGTTAAATCAAAGTTTATGATTCCGGGTTCGAACCCTGGCAGCGGAAGAACTTTTTTTTTTCCTCATTTGTCACAAGGAATAGTTAAATAAAACCATTGAAAACAAAATGCCAAGTTTGCTATGTTGCTCTCTACGCACGCGAGATGTACAGGGTTCGATAACTTGCATTTCCATTTTTTATTTTTCCTTTTATTTTTCTTCTTAAACGGCTTGTTGTTAATCTGCTGTTTTCAGGTATCTCATTTTCCAAGTTCTCTCCTGCTCTCTCTATAATTCTTCAGGGAAATAGATGAAGAACAACCCCTTAAATGTCAAATAATTTTTTTTTTTGTAATATTGTCTCGAGACATTTGAAAGTCAAGCATTTATAAACATTTTTATACAATTAAATCCTCAAGTTGTCATAAAGCATCCACTGTAGCAATGGTTAAATCAGCATTTATGATTTCGGGTTCAAACGTCGACAGTGGAAAGTTTTGTCTTTCTTTTTTCTTTTTTATCACAAGCAATAGTTAAATAAAACCATTGAAAACACAATGCCAGGTGGATGTTGCTCGCTATGCAAGCGGGAGGACCAAGATTTGATAACCTGCATAAGCAGTTTCATTCTTCCTATTATTTTTGTTCTAAATTGACATCTCGTTCATCCGCTGGCTTTCGTTTGTCTCAGTTTCTATGTCATCTCCTGATTTCTCTCTCTCTCTCTCTCTCTCTCTCTCTCTCTCTCTCTCACATTTTTTGAGGTAAATCTCTCTCATTTACTCTTCCGTTAAATCGGTCTACAACAGCCCCTTATATGTGACTGGCAATTGAGGGGTGGAATTTTCTTTTTATGTATAGGGGTCTCAGGGGATTTGCAAGCCAATCATTGGTAAACATTTATATACAGTTAAATCATCAAGTTCTCACAAAACATCCGTTGTAGCAATGGTTAAATCAAAGTTTCTGATTCTGGCTTCATATCCGGGCAGCGGGAGAACTTTTTTTTTTCATCATTTATCACAAGGAATAGTTAATTAAAACCATTGAAAGTAAAATGCCAAGTTGGGGATGTACCTCGGTGCGCATGCGAGAAGTACAGGTTTCGATAACCCGCATCTCCATTTTTCATTTTTCCTTTTATTTTTGTTCTTAAACTACTTGTTGTTCATCTGCTCTTTTTAGGTATCTTATTTTCCAAGTTCTCTCAGGCTCTCTCTATAATTCTTACGTGAAATAGGGGAACAACATCCACTTAGAAGCCAAATGCAATTTTTTCTTTTTTTGTAAAGTTACCTCAAGGCATTTGCAGCAAAAGCATTATAAACATTTTTATACAATTAACTCCTCAAGTTGTCACAAAGCATCCGCTGCAGCAAAGGTTAAATCAACGTTTATGATTCCAGGTTTGAACGCAAGCAGCAGAAAGTTTTGTATTTCTTTTTTCTTGCAAGCAATAGTAAAATAAAACCATTGAAAACAAAATGCCAGGTTGGGGATGTTGCTCGATATGAAAGTGGGAAGCCCGAGATTAGTAAACCTGCATCACCATTTTTCATTTTTCCTATTATTTTGGTTCTTCAATGACATGTCGTGGATTCGCTGTTTTTCGTTTATCTCAGT